CCCAGGCTCGCCTCCTTCCCTTCCTGGACTCCCGCTCTGCCCCCGCCGCTTCCACCATTCACACCTCCCACCCTCCAGCCCGCTCTCCCTCTTTTTCCCTCCTCCTTTCTCAATCTCCGCCTTCTTCCTCCTTCGTCCCTGTCTTGTATTCTGTACTCTTGGAGCCCGCACGCGTACACCCTCCTTCGCCACGGTGTACAGAATTCGCCCCCTCAGTGAAACCTTTTGCGTTGACTCCGCCTCCTGTGGTCTGCTTCTCCTGGGCACTTCGTATCCCGCGCACTTAGTCGACCCTCACTAAGTTCTTGTAGACTGAGTAACCTGTCTAGCGACAGCAGCTGGACAAGCTTTGCTTTGGGGTATTTACTGGGTACAGCCTTCTGTTTCTGTTTCTTCCTTTCTGCCATTAAAAAGTAGACTCTTATATCACCTGTGTAGCCACACCCCCACTTCAGCGCCTAGGATGGGGCTGTCTGCCCTTTTCCTCACTCTTCCCCTTCTTGGTCTACAAAAAAAAAAAAAAAAACCTCACTGCCTTCGGCCTTCAAGTAGATTCGACTCATCATGACCACTACTTAGGTTTCCGAGGCGGTATCTCAGCGGAAGTAGATTGCCCAGTCTTCCTTCCGAGGAGTGGCTGGTGGGTTTGAACCGCCAGCTTCCTGGTTAGCAGTCAAAAAATGCCTTAGGCACTACACGACCAGAGCTTCTAGCTAAATCTTTTTCCTTTCACCTCAGGCCACACAGCCCACCCCAGTCACTCCCTTCCCTCCCCCTCCTCCCCTCTCTGCTGTCCCTCCTTCAGTCACAGCCTCGCCAGAGGAAAGGAAGCTTCCCTGACCTCTTTCCCTGCTCCCTCCCTGCAAGGGAGCAGCTGTTTCCCCACCCGCACGTGGCTTAGAGCCTTGTCACTGAAAAGGCCAGCCAGTACAGTGTGTGCACAGAGGGACTGGTTTTCCTTGCTGTTTTCTATCCATAGACTGTTTTGGGGACAAGGAAACAGAACAAGGACCTTCTTAGAATCTACCTCATGTTGATTTAATATTTATTGGGACTCATAATGAGTTAGGATATCCAGAAAAACAGTTAGGCACCTTGCCTAAGAAACACTTTTTGGGTTCTGGCTGCAAGCCAGGCTCAAAACAGAAAATACAATCTACTGTATTCTCAAACCATTGTCCTCCCTTCCTTTCCAAGTCTGGTTTTCTTGACAAATACAGACTCAGAAAGGTAGCCTTGTCTAATTCTAAGCTTTGTACAGCATCTACCGTGGGCCTGATTCTCTTCAATGCTAATTAATAAAGAACAACAAGCAATAATCCCTTCAGAGGCTCATTCATTCTCTCCATGATTTGTTAAACCTGCAACAACATAACCCAAGACTAATAGCCACAAAGCTGTGGTGCTCCTGGCAATGGCATGCAGCATAGGGAGACCATTAAGTTCCTATCTTCAAGGAGTAAGAACAAAGTGGTAGCATTTGGTAAAAGGCTTCATTAAACCTTCCACTTTCTGTGCAGAGCTTGAGTTGGGAATTTGACCTAGCCTTGTCCTGTGTTTGCAAAATAGCAGACTTAAACGACAATAGCCAGGCCAGCTTTCTCACAGAACCACAGATTCCTCTTATTCATCAGTAGAATAGCAAAGAGTTTGGGACTTGAATTTGTGATTTATGTCACTTACTTGCTGTGTGACGTTGGCCAATTTACTCAACCTCTCTGTATCTCAAATGCCTAATACATAAATTAAAGGGGGCTATTATCTAATCCTGAAAGGAGCTCTGATGACGCGTTGTCTAAGGCATTTGACTACTAATCAGAGGTTAGGTTCAAACCTACCAGCCACTCATGGAAGGAAGATGGGGCAATCTACTTCTGTAAAGATTTACCACCTCAGAAACCCAATGGGGGTCACTGTGAGTCAGAATCAACTCAATGGCAGTAGGTTGTTTATCATCATCATCATCATCATCATCATCTAATCCAAGGAGCACTGGTGGTATAGTGGTTAAGGTATTTGGCAGCCAACCAAATGTAAATCTTAAAGATTTACAGCCTTGGAAACCCAGTGAGAATTGCTATGAGTCGGAATTGCTCGATGGCAGTGAGTTGGTTTGAAAGTTTATTATCTAATCCTGTGGAGGCACAAACATTACCTAATACCTGTGGAGACACAAACAGTTTAAGCATTGCACCACTTAGCTGAAAGGTTGGTGTTTCAAACGCACCCAAAGATGCCTCAGAAGACAGGCCTGGCAATCAGCTTCTGAAAAATCACAGCCTTGAAAACCGTTTGGAGTGCAGTTCTACTCTGCACGTGTGGGGTCGCAATAAGTCAGAGCCAACTCAACAGCAAGTAACAATTATCTAATCCACTGAGTTATTATGCAAATTATTGTTACCTTTCTCTGTGCCTCTGCTCACAAACACACGCTAAATTCGGTGCCCTTCCCCAAATCTGCATCAGCAATCTTACCCATGCTTCAAAGCCCACGTAAGGATCCCACTCTCCCCAAACCTCCCATCTCCCAAAGCTCTCTCCCTCCCCCGAAATTCTACAGCATTTCTTGCCTGCACTACTGGTTTTATTCTTAATCACATTCGGCCTTCCATTGTTCTCTCATTGTTAATCCTGTCTCCCACACAAGGCTTTTCAAGAGCTTTTTAATCTTTTCTAAATATTCCATAGCATCCAGCAGAGTGGCAGACACATGTTGTTGTTGTTATGTGCCATCGAGTCAGACTTGACTCTTAGCAACTCCTCCTTGGGTTTCCGAGGCTGTATCACTACGGAAGTAGATTGCCCCATCTTCCTTCCGCAGACATATAGTAAATCCAAACCCATTCCCAGTGAGTCATTTCCACCTCATAGCAACCCTATAGGACAGAGTAGAACTGCCTCCCCCCGAAAAAAACCAAACCAAACGCACTGTTGTCCAGTCTATTTCGACTCATAGCAACCCCTCCTTGGGTTTCCAAAGCAGTATATCTACGGAAGTAGATTGCCCAATCTGCCTTCCAAGTAGT